TGTGTTGCCTCGCTTTAGAGGCACCGAAAATGGCCGCCCCTGTGGAGGAACATCGCTGAACGGTGAGTTTGGGGCCCATTTGGAACGCATTAAACAATGTTTAATGCGTTCCAATGGGATTTTTTTATCCGTTTAGCGATGTTTCAACATAGCGACGATTAATTCGGAACGGATTAACGTCGCTATGCGGGGCACCACTGTACCATACAGTTGCACTCATTTCACACGCTGGCAAGGTTATGCTCAAAATTCTCCAAGGCAGGCTTCAGCAATATGTGGACCGAGAATTCCCAGAAGTACAAGCTGGATTTTGAAGGGGCAGAGGAACTAGAGACCAAATTGCTAAGATGCGCTGTATTACGGAGAAACCCAGAGAGTTCCAGAGAAACATCTACTTCTGCTTCATTGACTATGCAAAAGCCTTTGACTGTGTGGACCACAGCAAACTATGGCAAGTCCTTAAAGAAATTATTGTAAGCCGCCCAGAGACCTCTGGGTAGTTTGGGCGGCATATAAATTGAATAAATAATAATAATAATAATAAATGGGAGTGCCTGACCACCTTATCTGTCTCCTGAGAAACCTATACGTGGGTCAGGAAGCAACAGTTAGAACTGGATATGGAACAACTGATTGGTTCAAAATTGGGAAAGGAGTACGACAAGGCTGTACATTGTTCCCCTGCTTATTCAACTTATATGCAGAATACATCATGCGAAAGGCTGGAATAGAGGAATCCCAAACCGGAATTAAGATTGCCGGAAGAAATATCAACAACCTCCGATATGCAGATGATACCACTCTGATGGCAGAAAGTGAGGAGGAATTAAGGAACCTTGTAATGAGGATGAAAGAGGAGTGCAAAAAAACGGTCTGAAGCTCAACATCAAAAAAACTAAGATCATGGCCACTGGTCCCATCACCTCCTGGGAAAGAGAAGGGGAAGTTATGGAGGCAGTGACAGATTTCACTTTCTTGGGCTCCATGATCACTGCAGCCACGAAATTAAAAGACGTCTTCTTCTTGGGAGGAAAGCGATGACAAACCTTTATAGCATCTTAAAAAGCAGAAACATCACCTTGCCAACAAAAGTCCGCATAATCAAAGCTATGGTTTTCCCTGTAGTGATGTATGGAAGTGAGAGTTGGACCATAGAGAAAGCTGACTGCCGAAGAATTGATGCTTTTGAACTGTGGTGCTGGAGGAGGCTCTTGAGAGTCCCCTGGACTGCAAAGAAAACAAACCTATCAATTCTAAAGGAAATCATCCCTGAGTGCTCACTGGAAGGACAGATCCTGAAGCTGAGGCTCCAGTACATTGGCTGTCTCATGAGAAGAGAAGACTCCTTGGAAAAGACCTTGATGTTAGGAAAGTGTGAAGGCAAGAGGAGAAGGGGACAATATTGGATGAGATGTTTGGACAGTGTCACCGAAGCTACCAACATGAATTTGACACAACTCCGGGAGGCAGTGGAAGACAGGAGGGCCTGGCGTGCTCCGGTCCATGGAGTCACGAAGAGTCGAACATGACTAAACGACGACGGCGATCCACTTTTAAAGGAACAAGAAGAACATTGTTTCTGGATTGTTATCTGTGATAGATCACACTGAAGTAAATGTGTCCTTTTGCTTTTTGTGCTGAAGCAAACATGGCTACCTACCTCTTTAAAAACTGCCAATCACAGCAATAAAATTCTGTCTTATACAGAGTTGTTTTTTATACGTCTGTTGAACAGAAAATTTGCAGTTCAAGGGAAAAAATGTGTCCTGGGCAGGGGAAATTAGATGCCTCTTGTGATACCCATCAGAGCAATCTCTTCTTAAGGTCTTCTACCCGTGCCATCTGTTCTTTCCAGGCATCATTGCTGCTGGTGGCCACCTCAGGGGAGGCCCCGAAAATGGTAACTAAGAGCCAAGCCTTCTCGTTGGTAGCCATGGTGCTTTGGAACATTTTGCCTGTGGATGTATGCCAGGCTCCCTCCTTCCTAACCTTTAGTAAGCTTGCCAAAACTGAGCTCTGTAAAGAGATATTAAGAATATTCTCCACCTGTGGTAGATTCACTGACCTATCATGTGTAAATTTATGGCTTTATTTAACTGCTGCCATTGGGAGCGGGTTCTTTGTAGTTTGAGGTACATGTTTCCTTTTGGCTAGGGTTGGGGAGTTCTTTGACACACTGGGCTGCCTAGGTTAGTAGCTAATGCTCCATGCTTCTGATGAAGTGTTATACGGTGCGCTCGTTAAGCGAGGCACCACTGTATATACACATACAACGAAATTCACAGACACCCAGAGAACAGACACATGCACACACATAAAATTCCCCAAACACTTCCCACCCACTAAAAAAAATCCCCCAACTATTCACTACTGGTGGTCTTTAAGCTCATTAACCCACTGTGAAAACTGAGGCTTCTCAAAATTAAAGTTAACGAGGTCCTAAAGCAATGGACATTTATTTGTTTGTTTGTTTGATTTATTTATTTATTTATTTATTTAATTTAATTTATACCCCGTCTATCTGGCCCACCGGACCACTCTAGTCCATGAAAGCTCATGTTATAATAAATGCATTATGTTTTAAGGCACGGCAGGGGAAGTTTTGGGAAAGGCACCACCCTCGTTTGAAATGGTTCTGGTTTGAAAAAAAAAAACATTCCATATTTTAGGAAGAAAACCCGAAACCGCATTTTATCTTTAAACAAAATGTGACCCGTCTATCTGGCCCACCGGACCACTCTAGTCCATGAAAGCTCATGTTATAATAAATGCATTATGTTTTAAGGCACGGCAGGGGAAGTTTTGGGAAAGGCACCACCCTCGTTTGAAATGGTTCTGGTTTGAAAAAAAAAAACATTCCATATTTTAGGAAGAAAACCCGAAACCGCATTTTATCTTTAAACAAAATGTGACCAACCTAGGCTTGTTACATTTTAAAGTTATTTTGCATTGACGTGTTTGATACCAGCCATTAACCACACCAAACTCAGTGGTTAAAAAATGAAAATGATGTATTTTTATTATATAGTACTTTCAGCTTGGGAACATATCTGACCTTCAGTTCTTCTGCAGTTACAGACCAACAACACATACCCTCTTTCTTCAGTTACACTGAAGATGGGGCTCAACTTGTTTCAGAGAAAAATTTAAATCTAGAGGATATGTCCTGTGCTTGGGTGAGGAACTGATCTCAAAAACTGGAGAGGCAACAAAACGTGGGCTTTAGCAGCATGTTTCTCATCCCTGCTATCAGTTCAATAGACTTAACACAGTTGTGCTTTAAGAGTTTCCTTTAAAAACGGGAGCCACTGGCAGCGAGAACAGGGGAATTCTCAGGGCTCTGAGAACCCCTGGGTTTTACTCCGAGTCAGCGGACCCCCCAAGAAAGAGGGGGGCTAGCCTTCACAGGAGAGTGGCTGGCAGAAGAGGAGCTGAAGACGCCGGAGAAATCAGACAGCAATCTGTTTTTTTCAGAGAAGGTTCTTTTTCCTCAATTGCAACTGACTCGTGTATTTGCCATGATTAATTGGTGCGTAGCTGTCCAGAGGGGGAGAGGAAGATTTATGATTTGACTGCATGAACAGAAGTCCAACGTTTCTCTTTGGAAAGTTTGATTGTTGAGACTACCTCCTAAGCGGCAGGAAAGCTCGGCAAACTTTGGAGGGTTTACTTTCTACCCCATAACTGGTTAGAACTGAGAAAGTGAAACTTGTCTCTTCCCCGCTAACCCCCCCCCCTCCTAAGGTTTGGCTTTTTATAAATTAGCAGGTTGAGAATCCTGAATGACTATGAACAGCTTATCTCTATGGAACTCTACTCTGAGCCATAAAGGAGGGTTATAAATTATATACTGTAGTCATTTTTATGACCAGAGTGTTCTCCATAAGACTCTGAATCAGTTCTGGACGAGGAGCGAAGGGGAGAGTTGAAACAATGTTGTCTGTTTAACTCTCATGGTTCTCTCATGGTTTTCGATGAAAATTTAAGGGTGACAGTGTCACTGAGTTTGTGAAATGGCGGCCTTTATGATAAGTTGCCTCCAGAAATTTGAGTCTAATCTCATGAACCATCTCAAAGCTCAAGTTTTACAACTGGAGATAGATATCAAAGCAATATTTCTTGACTTGGACACTAAGCTAGAGAAAGCAAACAGACTGTATTCACTGAACCACCTGAACAATTATCATCGTCAGAAACGGAGGGAGAGACCATCGTTCCTGAGGAGGAGAAGGGAGATGAAACAATTGACTACTTTGAACTAATTGAACAACGACCTCCGGAGAGCCAGAGAGAGACTTTTCTTTAAAAAAAGCAGAATGAAATACTTAAAAATGAGGAAAGGAGGGGTGGAGAGAAGGTGGGAAAGCACATGGATTTTATCCTAATGGAGGTTATGTAGTCAGAATTATATGTCAAATGGATTTGGCCTAAAGATGTTAAGTAGGGGAATATAGTACATGCAGTCAGTATTGTATGTTAGATGGATATATGGAAAATATTCTCCCCGATTATGTGTTTTGTTTGTTTTGTATGTCTGTGTTATTAATTAATAAAAAAAATACTAGTAAAAAAAAAGAGTTTCCTTTAAAAACAAGTTGCCAGTCAGGGTGCTACTATAAATTCTATGTTTTGGACTTCTGAGTACTTATTTTGTTGAGCATATGGATATCTCTCCGGTTTAGGCAAGAAGCCCAGGACCAAAGCACCCAAGATCCAGCGTTTGGTAACTCCCAGAGTTCTGCAGCATAAGCGCAGGCGTATTGCTCTGAAGAAACAACGTACTCAGAAGAACAAGGAGGAAGCTGCAGAGTATGCCAAGCTCCTGGCAAAGAGAATGAAGGTATACTTGTTTCCATTTTGCTTCTGCACACATACTGTTCCAGTCAGCATGGCACAGTGCCCCAGTGTTAAGGATAAACTAGGTTAGGGAGAATTACATACATTGTTCTTGTATTCCTTTGGTTAAATGCAAACAAAAATGATGTCCTTTTGGAAAAAGTTTAATATTGAGGGCCAAGGAATTGACAACTTAAGCCTTGAGAGCATGTCATGTATCTTGCCTAGATTATGAGGGTTTGGTCAGTGGTTACTGTATGTACACCAGTAAGGAGTTACTGTGCGAGTTGAGAAAAGAGGACACATCCCTTTTGTACACCACATGAAACAAAGTGTCATTTATTTATTTATTTATTTATTTATTTATGCCCCACCTATCTGGTCATTTCGACCACTCTAGTCATGTGGTGTTCGGCTCCACCTCTCAATCCTAGCCAGTATATGGCTATATATAGTGATGAAGTATAACAAGAATTCCAACAACTGGCGTGCTACAAATGTTCCACAGGTCCCATACGGCATTAATAAACTAGAATACTACTTTGTGCTGACATGTGGTGTTTCCCCTTTTTCTAGGAGGCAAAGGAAAAGCGGCAAGAACAAATAGCCAAGAGGCGTAGACTTTCTTCTCTAAGAGCCTCCACATCTAAATCTGAATCAAGCCAGAAGTAGAAGAAAACAATGAGCTGTGTTCATAAAAACATTAAATAAAAAGTTTTTATGTTGTGAATGAATTGTGGTTTTTTGTGTGTGTTGGCTTAAAGATACTTTATTTGACACAGGAATTCAGTTAGTGCATTAATTAATTGACAAGTTTGTTGAAGAAATTACTAGTTGGAGCAAGCCTCATTCCTTTACAGAGATTAGGATGGGACACTTCGTTTTTGTCTACTTGGGTGCTGTATTTTGATTTTGGCTCTCCCTTGCCAAGAATGTCATCCCTTGTTCCTGTCCTCTCTTCCCTTGCCTTTGCAGTTGGGAAAAGGTTAGTGTTGGCATTAAATTTGGTGGAGACTGGAACATTGGGGCAGTTTTACAGTTTTAGCGAACCATTTTCTAACAAATAGTGTGGCTGGGTGAATTCTGTACAACTACAATTTACTCAGATAAGTTGTGTAGCTTCTGCATATTTTAAAACTAACAAATGTTTAAGAAAAAAGTAGGTTGGCCACCACTTGCTAATCATTGCCTGACATCCCATTGCTTAGTGTAGTAAGTTGCACCTAGAGTAGACCCATATAGCAGTGGGGATTGAGTCAACTCCATAAATTTTACAGATTCAATGGGCATACTCTAGTTCTGATTTACTACACTACACAACAGGATTTCAGCCATTTTTCTGTTACAACAATGAGTACTGGCCAGTTGTCAGTTATTTGCAGTTGCCCTATCATCTCATAAAGTGGAACGTTACGCATATGGGCAGATTGCCCAAATGTTGTGAGGGAGTAGCTAGCCTAGAACAAGTAGTGCTGTGATCTGTAGAAACAAAAAAATCTGTTGAGTAATTCCTTCAGCGGATCATTACCAAGTTAGTTCCCCACTGGAGTGGGGGAGTCAGACTGCGGCCTTGAGTAAGCTGCACCATGCCAAAACACCCCAGGGAATAATAACTTCGGACTATTCTATTCCTGGAAAAGCCCTTAATGTTAGGAAAGTATGAAGGAAAGAGGAGAAGGGGACGACAGAGGATGAGGTGGTTGAGTAGTGTCACTGAAGATACCAGCATGAATCTGACCCAACTCCAGGAGGTAGTGGAAGATAGGAGGGCCTGGCGTACTCTGGTCCATGGGGTCTCGAAGAGTCGGACACAACTAAATGACTAAACAAGAAAACCATGGAAAGTGTCAGTGTAACTTGATAGCATGTAATTATTGAAAAGTGAACCATCCAAGGGCCATCCAGCAGATGACAGATTTCCATCGATAAAAGGCCACATTTTTAATTTGTGGAAATTAGCCATGTGAGGCTGGGTATGCCTCTGGACAGAGTATGACACAATGCAGCTTGTCTAACTCCTATACTGTAGCCTGGTCCAGTGGCACCTTTCAACAGCGCAGGAAGATGAAAGTAAAAGGTGGTGTGTGAATTGTTTCCAGTCTGTGGTTCCCTTCAAATGTGCCAGGGCTCCAAAGGGGCATATGGATCCTCTTGAGAGTGACTGCTCTAAAGTCACAATATTAGTTAGGCTCTGTAGCCCAGTAAAGGGAAAACAGGCAAGGGAGATTATCAGTGCTATACCTCTAAACCACCTGTGGCAAACTCAAGGACTGCAGACCAAATCCGGCCCGCTGGGCCATTCCATGTGGACCTTGCAGTGTTGCACGGACAGGGCCCAGAGGGCCACTCTGTTACTGTACAGTACACATTTCTCTCCCCAGTGCTGTGCACACTGGGTTCACATACGTACAGGCTACAACAAAATGGCTGCCTCCAGCTTTCACAAGCGTCTTGTGCTGATGGCGGCCATTTTGGTGTCTGCGATCCTGAAGCTGGCTCATCAACATTAAGAGACCTGGGAACTGTGAGTGAAGCCTCTGCTTCTGATCCAAAATACACATACTTGCTGCCACACCCACACTCCACAACTATAGCTAGATTAGAATTTAATGCTTACACGGGGTGCACACTGGTCAGTCTGGTCCATGTGTGGACTGGCCAGCACAGCAGCAGCCAGCATTTGCTTGCGTTCAGACCTGAAGCCTGCTCTCTGGCTGTGAAGTGGGGAGTCTATGGCAGACTCCCCTGTGACTGGCCATACACAACCGCAAGCGACATGCGGTTGTGTGCAGATGGCAAACAGGCCCTCACCCTGGCCAGACACTGTACAGGGCTGTGCTTTACTGGAGGGGTCCCCAACCCCCAATCCGCAGCTTCCTGGGCTTCCTGGAACTGGGCTGCGGGGACGGATCTCCGCCCCCCCTGCTGAGGGGGCATGTTGTGCTTCCGGGTGGGCGTGTTGCCCTCTTGCAGCACGCCCTTCCACAAGCGTGACACGCCCACCCATGAGTGCCGGGATGCCCCGCCCCCCCTGTGCATGGAGCCCACACCCCAACTGGTCCGCAGTCCCAAAAAGGTTGGGGACTGCTGCTTTACCGCACCACTGTTTTTGTTGCGGTTCCTTGTGGGTGAGTATCTTTTTCTGAGGTTAAAAAAAGTACTTATCGCAGGGAATCACAGTAAAAAACAGCCAGTGTTAACGAAGTGTGTCCCTTATGGGGCTATATAAAAAAATGCACCCTGCACTTTTTGCCTATTCCACCTACCCATCCCATCTGCACCACAATAACTCGCAGCCCCTCCGTGCTGCACCCTAAACCACAGCCCCTCCGTGTCCCACCTTGACCCTCAGCCCCTTTGTTCCTTGCCCGGACTGTCTGCCCCCTATGCCACACTCTGAACTGCACCCCCTGTCTCATCCTTACTGCAGCCCATTCATGCCATATCCTGACCCACATTCCCTCCTCGCATGCCCTGACCCACAGCACTTCCATGTGTGACAAGATAACATAATGACCAAAATCATGAAAACCGTGAACTTCATGCTCGGGGCCTTAATCTTTGTTAGTTCCAACTGTTTTTGAAAGAAGTGGGCACAGAAAATACAGAGAAGTAAGATGGCTGAGTATGAGCACCATTCTCAAGCTTTTTTTTTTAGCTTTTGAAAGAAATTGCTCTTTTCACGCAAAGTGAAGTCCTTGCTTGAACTGTCAGATCCAAACTGGCTGTGTGACTTCGCCATGTTATGTGCATAACAGAGCATCTCGGCCAACTGAATCAGAGGGTACAAGGCCGCAAGTAAGTCATAATGGCAATGTATGACGCAATGACAGCTTTTGAGGAAAAATTGCACTATGGAAGTCCCAGCTCGAACAAGACAGTCTTGCTCACTTTCCTGTCTGTCAGAGCATCTCAACCTCATTCCCGGGTGCTTTTTCGTGTGTTCTATTGGCTACCAAAGTGGATCATCTGATTAATGAATTTGATCAGCATTGCCAGAGAACTTCACCAACTTTGCCAATCCTTTCACTATCGATGCTGACAGTGTGCCACATCACCTTCAGAGGGAATTAATAGAACTTCAGTGCAACAGTAGCCTGAGAGCAAAGTTCCAGAATGCTGCACTTTTACTGCCACCTCCCCCCTGCTTTGATGCCACAGCTCTGACTTCAAGCTATCCATGTTCTGTCTGTTTGAGAGCACCTACCTATGTGAACAGATGTCTTCAGCCATGAATCTGAACAAGACCAAGCACAGATGAGCATCACCGATGACAACCTCCATACTGTTTTTACAGATTGCTACTGCACAAGACCTAAAGTCAGACATCGACAGACTGACCTCAGGAAAACGGTGTCAGTTATCAAATAGGTAAAATTTTAAAATATTTAGGTATAGTAAAAAAAATCACAAAATGCATTTCCAATAAGAATAAGTACAATGTAACAATGTTTGCATTCTAATTTTCATTCTTTTATTTTGTTTGTTTTGTGTTTGTTATATACAGAAATAGATCAATGGATGAGGAGGGTGTTTGATATGGTGTCTCAAAGTGAGGTGGGATCTACAGTGGTGCCTCACTTAACGATGTTAATTAGTTCCAAAAAAACATCGCTATGGGAAAACATCGTTAAGCGAAACACCATTTCCCATAGGATTGCATTGAAAACCGGTTAATCCGTTCCAATGGGAACGGATTACCGTCCTTAAGCGAAAATCCCCATAGGAAACATCGCTAAGTGAAACAATGTTTCCCCCATCGGAAAGCCATTGAAATGCATTGAAGCCGACTCAATGCATTTCAATTGGCTTTCCGATGTTCGTTTTTGCTCATTTTTAAGTGTCTTAAAATGTTTGAAACCTGTTTTAAATGCTTGGAATCGGTAGTGCACCTTGTGAAACATGTGCAAACTTAATTTGGCTTTGTTCTGAGTCTTCGTTAATTTTTGGTGATTTTTTCCCCCCATTTAAATCCTGTGGGCTAAACCGCAGAAGCCTGTGCTGCAGGGTCAGAAGACCAAGCAGTCGTAAGTTCGAATCCACACGACGGAATGAGCCCCCGTCGCCTGTCCCAGCTCCCGCCAACCTAGCGGTTCGAAAGCATGCAAATGCGAGTAGATAAATAGGTGCCATCTCGGTGGGAAGGTAAACAGTGTTCCGTGTCTAAATGACACTGGCCATGTGACCACGGAAAGATTGTCTTCGGACAAACGCTGGCTCTATGGCTTGAAGAGCGGGATGAGCGCCGCCCCCTAGAGTCAGACACGACTGGCCAAACAAATTGTCAAGGGGAACCTTTACCTTTTTAAAGGGGACAACCCCAAAAGTGCTTGTACCTACCTTGCACTTTGGAATTAAAAAAGGGGTTAACACCCCAACTTGAAGCAGGAAATTCTTCTGTGTTCACCTTTTTTTATTCACAGCAATTATTTGTTTTGCCATAGCTAATATTTGATGATTAAAAATATCTTTGTTACTAAAACTCACTTTTCAATAAATTGTACAATAGTTGTACACTTGAATATCTGCTTGCCATTATTTCTAGACTTTAATCATAGACTTTTACTTTCAGAGCTAGTTATTACATTATTACTAAAACCAATAATAATCGAATGAGGAGGATTATATTTAATATGATAAAGAGTCGACACATTTATATAGTCTTACAGATACAACCAGCCCTTTGGGGGTAACCATTATGCCAACGCAGCCCAAGATGAA